GTAGTAGTAGTAGTAGTAGTAGTAGTAGTAGTGGTAGTGGTAGTAGTAGGAGCAGCAGCAGCAGCAGCAGCCAGCAGCCAGCAGCAGCAGCAGCAGCAGCAGCAGCAGCAGCAGCAGCAGCAGCAGCAGCAGCAGTAGTAGTAGTAGTAGTAGTAGTAGTAGTAGTGTAGTAGTAGTAGTAGTAGTAGTAGTAGTAGTAGTAGTAGAGTATTCAACAGTCCCAGGGTTCCGTAAGTGCCCGCGCAGTCCGAAATTCTCTTGGCGAAGGATCCAACCACATGCAGTTGTGGGTACCGCGTTGTGGGTACAGTTTTTGTTCCGTTTCGGGTCACGAGCTGTGTTTAGGGTTTGCCGGATTGGGCGCGGTGGTGGCATACCAACGGAGCCATTGGGATTTTCTGTGGAGCTCCCTATGGGACCGCGAAAGAGAGGCGTGTCGAAATGGGTCCAGGGTGTGCATGCGAATTCTCATCATGGAGGCCCTCGGTGGAGCCCCTTATGTGGCCGCGAAACGTGTGAGGGTGTGCCGAACTGGAGCGGGCGGACGCATGCGAACTCATCACAGAGGCCCTCGGTGGAGCTCCCTATGGGGCCACGGAACGGGTAAGTGGTGTGCCGCCATTGGTGCGGTGGTGGAATGCGGGCGCAGCCATTGGGACCTTTATTGGAGCTCCCTATGGGGCCACGAAACGTGTGAGGGTTGTGCCAACGTGGGTGCGGTATCGCCATGCGAGCGCAGCCACTGGGGCATTCGGTGGGGCCCCTTGTGGGGCCACGAAGCGTGTGAGGGGTGTGCCGAAACGGGGCGGGCGGACGCATGCGAATTCACCACAGAAACCCTCGGTGGAGCTCCCTAGGGGCCACGAAGCGTGTGGATGTTGTGCCGCCATGGGTGCGGTGGTGGCATCTCTTTGCGCAGCCACTGGGGCCTTCGGCGGAGCTCCCTATGGGATCATGAATCATCAGAGTTGTGTGCCGACATGCGTGCGCTGGTGGCATGCGAACGCAGCCATTGGGACTTTTGGTGGAGCTCCAAGCGTGTGGGTGGTGTGCCGACATGTGTGCGGCATTGGCATGTGAGCACAGCCACTGGGGCCGTCGGCGGAGCTCCCTACCTGGCCACGAAGCGTGTGAGGGTTGTGCCGGAATGGGGCGGGCGGACGCGGACTCACCACGGAGAGCTTCGGTGGAGCTCCCTATGGGGCCACGAAGCGGGTAAGTGGCGTGCCGACATTTGTGCGGAGGTGGCATGCGAGCGCAGCCATTGGGGCCTTCGGAGCTCCCTGGGGGGCCACGGATCGTGTGAGGGGTGTGCCGACATGGGCGCGGAGGTGGCATGCGAGCGCAGCCACTGGGGCTTTCGGGGGAGCTCCCGAGGAACCACGAATCGTGCGCGGGGTGTGCCGACATGAGTGCGGTGGCGAAAGCGTGCGACTGGCGTGCCGAAATGAACATGTGGAGGGCAGAGGCAGGGACGGGAGGATGGAGGAGGGGCAGGAGGGCGGGGGGAGGTGAGACGCGGGGCGCTGTCTCGTCAAAACGAAATCCCAACATCAGAGGGCGGTTCGGAAATATCTTTAAAAACACCCCCGTCGTGTTTTTGTCACGACGCGAGGTCAGAGGGCGACAGCGGCAGATGCTCGATAACGTTTTTTTGGCCGCCCCTGATGACTGGCGTGACCAGGCCAGGGGAGGGGTGGAGGGGCCAGTCACGTCACGATTCGAGCCGGCGCCGTATGTGAGGGAATGCTTGAGACCACTGCCCAGATGGCGCCGACGCGGATCGTGACGTGACCAGCTCTATTTCGCGGGGCGGGGCTGGTCACGAGCGCTATCGCGAACGATAACCCCGAAGGGTCTTTGATACCCCCCCCGGGTAACAATGG